TTAATGGTTTTTTTTATCGCCTTGTAGAAATAATTACCTTCTTGATTAAAAAGCAACACCTTTAAAAGGCAACTTAATTCTTTCTTATCTTCAATTACCTTTTTTTTTGAAGTTAAAAGAATGTCATATATTATGTTCTTGACTAATATTTTTTATATGATTGTTATTCTTATTACAAAGTTGGCCACTGACTTGATCATTTAATTAATTGAAGTTGGTTCTTATTATCTTATAATTTGATTCTAATAAAATAATTTTATTAGCACCATTGTAACTAAAGATAGTTAAGGTTGTTTTTGTTTTTTTTCTTTTTCTTTTTTTTTTTCTTTTTTTTTTTTTTTTTTTTTTTTTTTTGGATCTTAATTAATGAAGTAGTCTCTATTTGTCTTTGTTCCAATAAATATGCAAAATCTTTGACCACACTTAGTTCTTCTACTCAAACTTCATTTTCATTTTCATCCAATAACAAATCTTTATCTTTTTATCTTTTAAGTTAATTACTTAGAGTTGACATGATATCTATTGTTAGACCACTTTTCATTGTCTTTAGAGGTGAGCAATCTATGTGCTCAATATATACAATTTAAAAAGAATGATATAGAAAAAAATAAATTCTTGTTCATTATAATAGCCAATTATTAGATAGTATCTAAGAATAACTTAGTCCAATTTTGGACATAAGTATCCATGACTATTTAAGCTAAGATAATCGCTCATATCTTCTTAATTTTTTAAAAATAATCAAGATGAAAGTTTGGCATTAAGAAATAAATAATTCTTTGGTATCTTGGATCACATGTACTACTGAAATAATATCATTTTTTTTAATAGTTATACAAATTAGATTAATATACAACTACTATTTCATATATTAGCTTCTCTTGTTTAAAAGATTAATTGCTTCTTTCATTGTTCAAGTAATAGGTTTACATTATTAATAGAAGATCCTTCTCATTTGTTTTATTACAAATCATTTTCTCTATACATCCCAAGACAAATTTGTTTAATAATTTTTGAATTGTTGCCTTGTCTTAGAACCACCATAACAACCAATAAAAGTACTTGCATCTTAGTGCATTTAGATTATATTGTAATTCTACCTTCTACATATTCTCTAATATGTTGAAAAGATTAATCTTGTGCAATTTAATTTCTATTATCTTCTTTGTTGTACTTCAAACGATGGCTATTTCTCCATATCTCTTTTGATTATTTTCCACCTACTACTCTAGCTACTAAGTCTCATCTATTAAGAATTCTACTATAATACTCTAAACATTAAACACTTTTAATACTATACACATTTGTTTAGTAAACACTTTGCTACTCCACAAATTTTATAACATCTATAGTTGATTTTTTTTGTTTTTTTATCTCAAATTTGATTAACAAAATTTTTTCTATATTTTCTAATAATAAAATACTTGATCCAAATTTGATTAAGCATTGTGAGCCTAAAATCCACTATTCTATGGAATTAGTACTACACAACAAGTTCGAGAGGTAGAAGGGAAGAACTTCCAATTATGAAATTGTTAAGTTAATTTAAATGCAGGTGTTTGTAGTTCAATTAAAATTAATGCCTTCCAAGCAATGGTTAACAATATTAAATTAAAATATTAAATAAAATTCAATATGCAAAAATGATAAAAAAAAAAGATAATTAATTAAATTATTACTATTAAATCATAATAAAAATAAAAACTTAAGTTTAAATTAAATTTAAAAGTTAAAAGTTAAATTTAAAAGTTAAATTTGAAAATTAAATTCAAAATTTAAAGTTAAAGTTAAAGTTAAAATTTAAAGTTTAAAATTAAACTTAAAATTTTGAATTAAAAATTAAAGTTTAAATTAAAAATTAATTAATCTTATTGCAATCTAGTAATTCAATAGTGAGAATTGTTCCTTTGAAGTTGAGTGATCCAAACTATCATGGTGACCAACCCCCTTCACTTAGAGATTCGCTAAAAATCCAAATCGTCTTCAAATTTAATGAAACTTGTGCCTTGCAAAGCTTATCTTACAAAGCTCAATGCTTCCAAAATTTCAATTGAATCCAATTATAAGGCACTGAAAAATGCCTTTCCAAACTCAATTAATCCAAACTAAAAAGGCAGTCAACTCCTTTGCAGTCAAAATTTTATCAAAAATTCAATTCAACTCCAAATTGAGCAACCCTTACTATGTTGGAAAGCTAATAATAAAAGATAAAATTACAAGGAATACCTCATTAAAAAATTAAAAAAAAAAAAAAAAAAAAAAAAAACTGATTCACTAATTCATTGATTAGGGGAAATCCAAGTCTCTTAAAACCTTTGGAGTGCTTAAGAGGCTAAAGGAGCTATCTACCACAATGAAGCATGTTTTAAAATCCAGTGATTATCATTTACAACTAAAAATCCATACAAACCCACCTACAAGTTCACAATGAGATTTAACAATCTAAATGAAATTAAGATTAGGATTTTTGGCCAAATTTTGGCATGGCTCTGCCCTTCACCAAAAGAGGAGAGAGCGAGGGCTTGGAAAACCAAGCTTCTCTTATACAATTGAATGGAGGTTTGTAGAAAGGTGGCTGAATCTCCACCCTTGATTATTAAGATCCCTAATCTAGATCTACAGCCTTCATTCACTCAAAAGCTAATTTCGTTACAAAGGCTGATGGCTATTGTAAGTGATAAAAAAAATATAAAATATAAAAAAATAGTAAATACCTTTTACCATTGTGTTTAAAATACCTTTTTATGCTAAGATTGACTGCTCACATGCCTCCATCTATGTTTATTTGCAATTTTTATGAAAGTTTTTACTTCTAGAGATTTTAGCAATTATTGTAAAACCCTTCAAAAATGGAAATTTTAGTGCTCTACTTATATGTTGGAGGAGATGGTGTTGATCTTGTTTTCTTCATGCCGTGAGGTGAATCCAATGCTGTCATCACATTTGAAAGCCTTAATTAATTGAAAAGAATTACTTTGCTGTTTGGATTTGTTGAAGTAAAAGAAGAAGCTTCAAAATTGTCATTACTAAACTTCACTAAATCTTTTAGAAAGTTTTAATTCTAATTCACTGTAAATCATATGAGATGATTGTAGGTGAACTCATAGGCTCACAATCAACTCTTATAGCAATGACTAATAACCTTTAAATTATTAAAATTATCCAAATTACTATTCTAATTTTCTAATCCTTAACATTTTGGTCTTAATTAACTTAACTCAAGGAATCAGGCTAGGATTTAAACCATCAAAGGTTACAACCCTAAAAATTTAATAAAACCAGATTTCACTTATATAAATCCTAATCTACATGCTCAATTATCATAAAATAAGAATAAAAATTAAAAAATGAAAATTTGGAGCATAAATGAGAGCTCACAAGGACCAACTTAGATTTTTGTCTCAATGCTTATAAATTGTGTTTGCTTTTCAAGCAATTGTCATTATCATATTCCTTACTTTTATTATCTTGTGTTGAAGTCTGTTCTATTAAATAATAGTCTTAATTAAACTAGTTGTTTCAACTTGATTGACAAGTTCAATTCAATCAAGTAGATTATTTGCTAGATTTATTCTAGTGAATGAATTCTTATATCAACACTAGATAGAAGAATATACTTATAATTTTTGTTTTTAAAATATTTTTAAGAAGATTATTATTAAAAAAATATTAATAAAATTTTAAACATTCCAAATTTGAATTGCTTTGATTTGATTTTTTTTTTATTTATTATTTCTATATAGTTATGAATACATTATATTCTGGAATTATTACTATTTTTTTTCTATACATAGCTATGATATTGATAATAATCAAACAATCAAAACAAAAAGAAACCACAATAATAAGAAACCATTGTCTTTGTGATTTTTAAGAGCATCTATTTTTTATTGTTAAATTTAAATAACTCAAATTTTACTACTTTGTGAAAAATTAAAATAATTTTTTTGAAATATGCCCAAAAAGTATGTTTATTTTTAAAAAAGAAAAGAAAAGAAAAGAAAAATTATTTAAAATAATAAATGTTCTGAATATTTTATGATTCAAGACTTGTACTATCTAAATTTTAAAAAAAATATCATGAAATTATATATATATATATATATATATATATATATGTAATATTGTAAATGCATAGATAAAAAGAAATTATAGATAATCTTTAGTCATAGTGACTTCAAAGGAAAAATATTTATCTACTTGATGATTTAACAATTTTTTACCAAAATATATGTTTTCTAAATGAAGAGATTATACAAATTTAAAAACATAAAGGTGAGATAAAAGAATATAATATGATTCAAAAAATAAATTCAAAGGATTACATGCTAACTACAAAGAGTCTTTCAAATTATAATACAAAATTTCTTAAGTGGTTTTAAAAATTTGAATGAAAAGAAGTTTGATGCCATATAAATGTGTATTAGAATCATAGTAAAAGAAACAAAAGAATTTTAAAATTCTAAATTATAAAAACAGATCTTGAAGGATAGACTTTCTACATGGATGAGAATAAAGAGCAAGTGGAACAACCAATCACCAATATCTCATATTTTTCTTAATTCTTACTATGTCATTTCAAACTTGGTTCATATTGTGTAATGAAAAGGTTATAAATGACAAACAATTCCAATCACTCTACGAATACTTGTATAATCAACTAAATAAAAAAATATATATATATATATATTAATGTGGTTTATGGGTGCCTTGTAAAAACCAATTTCGTGACTTAGGTGAATAAAAGATCTGGTCATATTTCCAGATTTTTCATTGGGTGGAGGTTCCGTGATGACAACCCCTGCTTTAAAAAGCGGATGCACGCTCGACGGGGTTAATACCAACGAACAGAGACATTCATCGGAAGGTTAGGTCTAAACTTATGATTGGACTCCGATACTTCGCATGGAGGTCTCCCCCCCCCCCACCAACCTCGTATTGAGACAAACGAGAAATTGGAGAACAACGAAGACTCGTCGGAACCGACGAACGATGGAGTGTCGAGGGGCTGGCTTCCAGTCTACCAGCTCTTTTTTCTCTCCCTCTTCTTTAGCCATGGCGATGATGCTATGAGACCGCTTCCTGAAATCTTCACAGACCCTTTGCGCGATTTGTGTCTTTGCTGATTATCGCGCGCGAAGAATAGTTAGATGTTGGTTTTATAACAGCGTGATTGGACATAATCTTCAGAGAGAAGAAGGATGTGTGGAGTTGTCTGCGTCGAGGCGAGATTAGAGTCGCTAGGGTTTGGGGTTGGGAGGGAGTGAAGGTGTTGATCGGTTGGATCAAGGGAAAGCGGTGGTGGTGTTGGTGAAGAGTGTAAAGGAGGCTTGGTTGCTGAGGGGAGGGCTAGGACTTGGCCGTCGCAGGGATGGACAGCGTGTATGGCGACGACGCGTCAGGCGCTATGTCCAACCCCGCGATGAAATGGAAAAGCCAAATGGCGCGCCGGTTTCAGTTTTTCTTGGACAAGTCCACGCCGCATGCGGGCCTGCGATGGGTCGGCACGCTTTTCATGGCTGCAATCTACTGCCTTCGTGCTTACTACGTGATGGGTTTCTACATTGTGACGTACGGGCTCGGCATCTACCTGCTGAACCTGCTTATAGGTTTTCTGTCTCCTCAAGTAGACCCTGAGAGCGAGGGCCCTGCCTTACCGACGAAGGGCAGCGATGAGTTCAAGCCATTTATTCGCAGGCTTCCGGAGTTCAAATTCTGGTATGTGGGATATTTTGTTTGGAGATCTTTTCTGTCTTGAGGTTTCTTCGTCTTCTTCTTCCTCTTCTTCCTCTTCTTCCTCTTTCTTCTTATTTCCTGCGACTTTTTCATCTTGGTTGTCATTGTAGTCTTGATCTGTTTAGGGGTTGAGTCACGACCGTTTTCCGTCTGTGTATCAGCTTGTGAAGCACGGTACCGTTGTGGTAGCAAGAACTTTATGCTGATGCTGAATTCCGGGTTTATAGAGTGTGCATCATTTGCCATGTTGTTATATAGCACCGTTGTCGGTAGAGTTTGAGTCGGATTTTCTTGGATCTCTCCATTTTAGGTTCACTGTGAACTTTCGTTTATTTTATTTTAATTTTATTGAATTTGGTGTTTTTCTAATGAAAAACGTGGTCAAGTTGCTCTAGTTAATTTAATGACATTAAAATTCGCTTCTAGCTTAGATTACCGGGTGAATGCGCAAGATCTTGCAGTCTCGTTTTCATTTGCTTATCATACGAACCGGGCAGAATAATCGTCATTTTCGGTATCTCTTTGGCAGCAGCATTGAGTGATGAATGATCATCACTCCCTTCACCGTAAAAACAATAACGGGCTTTTATGTTGCGAGCATGTAGACTCCATATTGCTATCAGAATAGTCACAATGCTTCCCAACGATACCATAGGTGGCTCTGATTTATTTTGATATGTTTCATGATGGAGTGACGCTTCGGTCCCGTGCAGGTATGCATTTACGAAGGCGTTGGTGGTGGCATTCGTCTTGACGTTTTTCAGCATATTCGACGTGCCTGTGTTTTGGCCAATATTGTTGCTGTACTGGATCGTTCTCTTCGTCCTGACCATGAAGCGCCAAATCCGACACATGATCAAGTATAGATATGTCCCTTTTTCATTAGGCAAACAGGTACTTCACCCTTCCTGTTCACGAAAACAGTGCATTTACTCAATGACTTCACTGGCTCTCCTGTACGTGAGCTTTCTGGGTACATGATGGTTCCAAAAGTTTTATTTTATGACAATGATTGTCTTTGTTTCATTTTTTTATCTCCCATATTTTTGTGTATTCTGATAACATAGGCTGTTCGAGGGTGCAGCGATGTAGTACATCCCTCTCCTAGATACATATGCTATGTTATCGTAGTGCAATGTGAGGCACATTATGCACAGCGACCGAACATCCAAATGGGCAGTTGGTCAATGCATTGATGCTACTCGATCGCACTTTTTCAGGAGGTGACTAATGCAAAATTTCCTCATGGTGATGTTACTGAATGCAGCGATACACTGGGAAAAAGCCTTCCGCGGACAAGGCCAGCACTTCCAGCGACTAGGCGTGTCTTTGAACGCTAGGTAGATGTGGGTCCGTGCTTAGTGCCTGCGGACATTTATTTGAGAGAGCCGAGCTCTGGTGGCTGCTGAACTCGGTTTCAGGTCAAGAAGCAGGTTGGGTTGGTGTGGGGGGTCTTGTGGAGCACACCTTTGAAAGGGCATTGGAAGGGTTTTATGCAATGCTAGCTCATTCTTTGTTTCGAGCCCTGCCGGATTCCTTTATCTGCGTCCCATTTACACATGGCAACACGGTTGGTAGACCTAATTCTTTGCATCCTGTATTGAAACTTGGATCTAATTTTCTAGCGTTTTTGTAACAAGAAACTAGTGTAAAATGCATGTTTTGAACAGTGTCTTTGTGCAGCCTAGTAGAATTGTTTACCTTTCCTAGAGTCCTGTTCGGGACACTGAGCTCAGCGTATTTTATTGGGTTTGTCCTCGATTCAGATTGCTTCATGTCCTGAGTTTTGAGTATTTGGTTCACTCTAGACAGTAGTTTCGTGCTTTTTAGTATCTTAAAACAAATTGCATGTAATATTTAGTATTGCTCTTCACCTTTCTAGTGTCATTCAAAAAGTAAGCAATTTACGTTTGAACTTACCATCAAGGTGTCCGACGATGCCTTCACATGAAAGTATCCCTTCATGTTAACACTCGTCCCAGACTTCTCATGTGTACTAAATCAATTGACGTAATTTGTGGGACGAATTGAATAGTGTATCTCTGCATTCATTTGGAGAATGTTGGGGAGGTTGTTTCACCAGTCATTTTGATTCTATGTGCCACTCTACACCCTTCTACCTCCGTAATGAATGTAGGGAGTCTCCCGCATTTCTTCACTGAATGTGATCTTTTTGAAGTCTATTCTAAATGTTGTAAAAGATCCAACTAGTGATACAATGGAAAGTGCGGTGGATCATACACAATAGATGTGTGGATTTTATAAAGTGCCTTCTCGTACCTATATGCAGGTAAAGATAACTTGAAGTCCACTTAATCGCCCCGCTGCTTGTTTATCGACATACCATGTGTGCCTTCTCGTCAAAACCATCCAGGAATTCGTGTTAAGCAGTGAGTTAGAACAAGAATATTTCTAGAGTATCCTGGGTAGATCCTGCCACTGGGAGATGGCACGGACTGGGGAATGTGCAGAACGGTGATGGCATTTGTATGGTGCAAGCGCCAGTATAGAGGTAGTACATTCGGCAGGGGAAGTACATCAACGAGGGAAAAGGGGATCACGTTGCTCGACCTTCAAAAGACGTTACACACCAGTTGGTAACAGTTGCCAATAACGAGTTTCAAAGCAGTTGCTTGAAAATTTGTCATCAACAATCATGTGCTTGACATGACCACGAACTTCCCTTACGGCAGCTATAAATCTGTGCGATGTCCTCTTTAAACTCCTTTCTCAGAAAAAACTTATTTAGCCTAATCAAAGGTGTTCATCTGAGCAGCGAAAATCACGAGTAGAGCAGATTATCCAATGCAACTTCAGTTGAACTCGAGCATCTACCACGAGAATGCATTCCGCAATTACAGGAGTAAAAGTTGCGGCAGTCTTTAGAGCCTTCCATTTCTCCAAAAGAACCACGGGTATCAAAACTATGAGAGGACAGTTTTTTTCTTTGTAAGCTTTTCGGGCAGTTGTGGTTGCCAGTTCCAAACTCAGCAGAAGGGACTGCGATATGAACGGCTGGAGTAACCAATGGCAATGTGACGAGCATTTTCCATATATTGACGGTAAATTGGTTCGGACCTCTCATTTAAGTATGATGCAGTTGAACGCACTTCACGACCCTGAAGATCGGAAACAAGTCCTATTGCTGCGTTCAAAGCCTGCTTGGCCACGTCGGGTGTCTGGCAGGACTCGTTTCTAATTATATGAAAATTTCCACATAAACTGAACACGCCAGGGCTCTTAAAAAACACACTACTAGAGCGTCGAGCTTCATAATAACCTACAAAAATAATAAAAATAATGAATAATAAATAAGGCTCTAACCTTAATTAAAGAAAATTCACACTGGCGGCGAGCTTTCTTTTTCTGAAATCTAATCTCCGCCACTTGTGATATCGAACGCAATGAACCATTCCGGTAATATTGAGCGTCACAAAAGGCACGCAGCCTAAACCAAAACAAAATGAATGCTCCGAAACTTCATGATCACATACACAATTTCAACCACAAGTGGCACGTAACGAAGATCGCTCAACAAACTCCCGCAGTTTCCATTACGCACATTTTAAAAACCACTAGCGCGACCAAGAAACAAAGACAACCTGAAACACCAAAACCGCCGCAACCAACGAAAACCTCACCATGACACAGTTCCCGTCGTCGCGATTTCCACTCTTCACAAGACTGTTGTCAGGATCAACGCATAGACTGGACGTAACCACATAATCGAATTCTGTGGAAAACACAATTGATCGAGCGCGCCTCCAAACACGAGCCCAAATGCAACTCAAAGCAGTTGATCGATGAAGCCCATGAAGGAGGCCTGTCTTGCCTGCTTCCTGCCGAACCTGTGTCACGCCCGGGACCGAAGTTAGTTCTGAACCTGATCCGAACCTTCTGCCCAGCCTTGGGCCGAACCTGAGCAGGTCTGGGAAATAATCGACTTGTGAGGGTGTTTATCTTTACATAGAACAATCTCAAAACAATTGAAATACCATAACCGTGAATTGGGTTGTTGGTGCATGTATATATATATATATATATATATATTATTTTTTTTCCTTCCTGAACATTCAAATCAAATTTGCAACTATCATACAGCTCAAAACATTAAATAAAATAAAATAAACAGAATATAATTAAACCTTTGAAAGTTGATATTATGCGGAAGATTAAGTTGGAAACTTAAGCTATTGATCTGATAATGTTTTTCTTTTTCTTTCAAGTGAATAATAATCTTAATTGTAAGCATTATCAGGTCGGTAACTCATGTTGAAAGAGGAATAAATAAATAAATAAATAAATAATCATATACTGGAATAATATTCAATGAGTGGACTCAAACCATAAAATCATTTCGTGCCAATAGAAACCAGTTCAATTTCCAACTATTTTTATATAAATCTCCTCAACTTGGTCTCATAACATGAATATCAACTCCACTTTGCCATTCCACCAAACATTCAATATCTTACCAATACTTCAAATCCACATACACAAACACACACATTTCATTTCATTTCCCAACAACTTTTTACCACAATTCATACAATTGTTTTAACGATAATACAAATGCAATATTACAAACACACACATGAGAATGAGAATGCAAATTCAATTGACTCGCGGCGGAGCACACGAGGCGTACGCAATGTCCACGAAGTTGATTTGAATTTTGAAGAAGAAAAAAAAACACCGTGTGGAGTGGTGGTGGTGGCGGCCGATCGACGCAGGATTGCAGTGTAACGAGATGCCCGGAATGGTGAGAAATCGGGTTGATGGGTCGCGCGAGCGGAATGAGAAACATTGCCACCATTATCTCTGTGTGTGTGGTTCAGCCACTTTACGGTCGACGGGAATGGAGGATTCATCCACTTCTGTGAAGCTTTTCGGTGGGTTTTGCGGGGACAAGACATGGTGGTGTGCCACAAAAGGGGCTGTACAAATGTGCTCGTCAAGGGGGGCTAAAGGCAATCTCCTTATGAGCGAAGCCCACGACATTAATTGGCTGCGTTAAAGCTGATCCGCTCGAAGATCGCAAAAGGAGCGAGTAAGAATCAGTCCTGCAAAAAGCATGGTCCAAAAGCGTCGTCAAGTGCAGAGGCGGAATTCAGCAGGGAGGCGACGAAAAAGAATCGACATCCGATAGGTAGATCGCACTTGCGACGAGATCAGCGAGTCCAATTTTTCTCATCAGCTCGTACGGGCCATGCTTGGGTTCCATAGTTGGCGAACTGTTCTCCCTTTGTTTTATCGTACTATTTGCAAACCTCACCGTAATCCTCGGGTTTATTCGCCAATGACCGGATTGCCTTGTGTCCGCATCGTGGTGGATTTGAATCCTATTACTCCAAATTCAGTTTAAACCAGTATTCTGCTCGGTAGACGTGACCAAGAGGTGATGAAGTCACGGATACATTGTCAGCCCCCAATCCGGAACGTGTGCAGGCAGATGAATTCAAGAGATAGAGACAGAGAGAAGTGATGAAATTGCGTTTCGTGAACACGTGGTTTTGAAAAGGACACAACTTCATTCGAGAGGAGTTGGATATTTAATGAGCCTTGCGACAGCAGTAGGTCACGTGCAGGGACCCGAAGACGGTGTATTACAGAAACTCCACTGCTGAACAACGCTATGTTGTGAGCTAAGGATCCAACGGGGTTATCATCGAGGCAGAAGCGTTAGCTGAACATTACGATGCGGTGTTAGGTGGGAACTTTCACTTCATTGCTGCTGCCAAGCAGTCTCGGGAGAATGAACATACTTGGGAGAAACCATGGTGGAATCCTGTGAGAAAGCTCGGCGTCAGTCTGTCCCATCCGAGGTGCTTCGGCGAAAGAAGCTCGGGGACCATATAAGGAGCGTGGATTTGAGGCTCTTGTTTAGAGACAATTGGCAGCTACAGCGACGATTTCTTTCAACGTGGGTTTCTCGACTCCCTTGCGAGCTTGAAAAACAGGCTGCATTATCTTTTCATTTCCCACTGTCCGCCAACAATGTATGCCGTGCCATGACTTGAAACGGATGAAAACTCACCACGCACAAATTCACGCCACTGAAATGAGGTTGTGCGCAATGCCGTTGCAGCTTATGAATGACGAAATCGTGAATGTGGGTTGTCGGAACACGAGTCTGGAGAAAGAATGATGTGCATCAGCCATAGACGACAAGCACCTAGTATCTTCGGGGGTAATCGAACAACCTTAAGAAATCGTAGGGATTCGTTTCTGAGGCGTGGCTGTTGCAGTCGAGGTTTCTATGCACAGAATGAGCTGATTTGCGGGCGTTATGGGTCGACAAGCGAAGCAGATTGCTCCAACTTCCTTTGATGAGAATGTTGACTAGCATCGGCGCTCATTTTGTTTCAATGCTGTGATGATCTCACACTGAGGACAGGATCTTCTCAATGGGTGTGAATATTTGTTGTTTTTGAACTGTGCAGATTTGGATCGGTGACGCCGAGCTCTGCAAGTGGATGACGCCGGCGTGGTGATGGCGTCGTGAAAACTCACTCAAACGAGTGAAAGAAGGTGGCTGTTGTTGTCTTGTATAGAAAGCTTGGGAGTTCTGTCCTCAATAAAAATAAAAAATAAATAAAAAAAATGTATGAGTTGTACGTGTCCGCTTTATCTTATTGCTGATATCAGGAACAATTATCATCCTTCCACTGACAATATGTTCAATGATTGGGATGAGCTTTCTTTCTATGTTCTTAATATGTGAATATCAAGAATTTTTTTATTAAATTGATAATCGAAAAGCCTTTTTTATTTTTATAAAGATGCGTAAAAGTTTGAGCGAAAATAACAAGTATTTTTTCTTTTTTATATTCAAAAAACGAGCTCGACATGTTGTAACGGGTTTGTGCACATGGGTTTGAGTGATTTTACAAAAGCAGAATAATTCAAAATTTTGATCAACCACCTTCACCATTTTGGGGTCAATTTTAGCGAGGCATGGTTAACACAATTAGCAGGATTAATTCAATCTTAACAGAAACAAATTCAACCTTTGAACAAAATCTGCCTTTCTCATGTTTGCGGAACAGGCTTAAAGTTCGTTATATTCCATGTTGTTCTACTCCATTTCAAGCAACGATTTCATCATGAAAAGATTCAGAAAGAAAAGGAACTGCACCACCACCACCACCACTTCACATACATTGTCTTTTTTGCATATTTAAACCACTCTTTTGACATTGGTCACTTTTGCGTTACACAGAACACACCAAAAAGCGAACCAAATTTCTGTAAACCTGAAAAATGCTGTTGTTAAGATCATCACTCCACACCAAGTCAGACTTTCTACCTGTGGGTGACCAGTCTCTAGGTGAGCTTGAAAGAGCATCAGCCACGCAAGTTGTGTGTTTAGCTACCGGCAAGAAGTGGCAAGCCAACACCGAAAACACCAAAAGAATATATAAACCAAAACAAAACCCGAAAAAGAAGAAGAAAGATAAGAAAAGATGCAAGACATTCTGCAACCATCGACGCTCGCGCAGGCTGATCCTCATCGCGCACAGTGAAGGATTTCACAGCAGGTAGTAGTAACAACGTAGCTAGCTGAGGAATAAGAGCAACAGTGGCGCTTACAGGCGAGGAGGAATCTAGCTACGAAGAGGCAGATCCCAAGGGGGTTGTAAGTCCGCTAGAGTGGTGAGGGGTTGCAAGGCGGACGGAAATCGCCGTGACCCACAAAGGGCTCTGCGATCGGGTCGTCGTCCTTGGCCTCTGTGACGACGCAAGCAAGCAAACAAAACAAAGCAAAGCAAGGAACCCCGACCCCGTCCGCCATCCCCGCAGTCGCCCGTTTGCGATGGCCCCCCTCCCTTGACGTGGTGTAAGTAAGGCTTCATGGGCTTTTTCCACTACAGAGACAGACAAAGCTTGACTAATCGAACGCCCAAGACTTGACCCCGGCAAGCCTCCCTCTCTCTTTCCATGGCTTTTGCCCATCAGGGTGGACGCCAGGTCGGAAAAAGCAGCAACCCCGCAACAGATCAAATTATTATTATTCTATTCTAACCGAGCACGCGGTATTTCCTCTCAACTTCACCTTTCCCTGCTTCATTTATTTTATTTCATTTATAAATCAAAATTGAAGAACGAGTATGCGCAACGGTGTGATTAAACCTCTTCATGTATCATTGCTAGCAAAATCGGCATGAGCGGAAGGATTGGTGATGAAAGCGAGTGGTGAGTGAGCGAGCGAGTGATTGAGCGAGAGTGTTTGAGTGAGTGTGTGTGTGTGTGTTTGGTTGAGTATTCAAGTGTATGCGTGGTGATTTCTTTGAGTATCGTCGCAGGTCTAGGCAATGAGTGAACCTAGGGGGTTAACAATGATTCTATGCAACCAGCGGAAAAGCTGAGATTTACGTCATTGTTCCGGTGCCTCGCACCACGCACATGGCCTCCCCTTGTGTAAGAGCCGTCACTGTTGGGCTGCCGCAAAAAAGCCTCTCACTCCACGTCGAGACTGCTAAGCTTTTGCCCCTCCCCCGCGATGGGCCCCTCTCTCGCTGGCTCGCTGGCTTCCTCGTCCACCACGCCATGGCCACTGTTCACTCTCCCTCACTCTCGTTTCCATTGCGACTGCTGTGTGTGGGTCAAACTGGACTTTCCTTGTGTCAAGCTTGACCCTTCATTCCTCTTCTCAAGTCTACCCAAGTCACCATAATAACCCACAACAACAACAACAACAACAGCAGCAACAGTGAGGATCAGCGACGCAAAGCACCCAACGTAACAATTTGGCACAACTCCTCGTCACAAACAGTAAATGAATATAAATGAAGAGGAAAGCGTTCCATTTAGGACTCCATTTTCTTCACATTGTTCACTATGTCGAATATCTCACTTTCTACAATCAGCACCAACATTGCTGTTCGACCTGTAGCAAAACAAGTCCAAACTGTCGCCTAACAGTAGGTTTGTTTTCTAACTCGCTCTCTCTCTCTCTCTCTCTCTCTCCCAGTCGTTGAACAAACACCTAACAGTTTTTTTTCTGCCGCTACCTTGGGATCTACGCCTGCAGTGGCTGGAGAATGTTGTTGTTGTTGCTGTTGTTGCTTTTGTCCTTTTTGCCTTTCTCTCCTTAAAAATTTGATGTTCTTATTATTATTTAGAATTTGTCTTTTTTTTTTTAATTAAAGGATGTGCTGTGCTTTGGGTCATGGTGTTGGGCCCCTTGCAAGTGAAGTCAATTTCTCTGGAAGCAATCCACATGATGTGGTGAAGCTCAACCTTAAGTTGGTACAGAGCAATGCAACCAATATCAAACACATAGAGACACACAGATACTTCATATATTTATTTTTTAATATTTTATGGTATGACTTGAGTTTCTAGCTTAACACTAACTAACTAATTATATATATATATATATATATATATATTGCACCTACACCATTTCAGATAACATAGTTTAACCAAGGTTTGGTTAACACACAAACAATTGTCACATTGAACAACAACAACATGTCTCAACATGGTAAAAGGGATTACAAGTTTCACAATGACTACATGGAATGCTAATAATACATAGTCACAAGTTATTTATCAAGCATATGTTAACATTAAATTACAACCTTCCCAAGTCTCATAAGAATCACATGCATTGTGCAAACATTCTCTTTCCATAGGTTTCTCCAAATGCCACAATTCACTTTCAACTTTCTTTCTACAAACCCTTTTACACAACCTTTGTGAATGTAAATCTTTTAGGCTATTACTTCCTTTTCTTTTCCTCTTCCTTTTCTTCTTTACTCACATGCTTTATTTTTTTGCTTATTTATAAATTGTTGTAGATTTTGATTAATTTTTCTTCAATTTATTATGCTTATTGATTTATTTGTAATGGAACCTTCAAAGTGTGCATGAGAGTGGCTAGAGCCTTTGAAAAGAAAAAAGAATGGTTAGGGCACAAACCTAGGCCTTGAGCACATTGAACCACAAAGATGAGGATGATATGAATGGATATGGTAGAACATAATACAATAGAATAGAATAGAATATATCACACTTTGTAGTGACAAGGCTTGCCTTCATTTTTGTGGGTATAGACCAAGACAAGGTCATTTGTCCCCCATCCTATGCTTCATTCTTGCCACATCTTCATGCACAAATGCCACATCACTAGCTTGTTCCCCAATTTGGTCACCTTTTGTTTAATGAAAACACTCCTTCAAGGCTACATTTTTTATTTACATTTTTCTAATTGTAGTTGTGTAGAAAGAGAGCAAACCTTCAAAAGCTCATTTTGTGTGTGTGTGTGTGTGTGTGTGTGTTTTTTTTTTTTTTTTTTTTTTTTTTTCCCGAAGAGAGATACTTTTGTTTTTAGATTATTTCAAGGATCTTTAGATTGATTTCGAAACTCCCCATTTGAAAACAACCAATCTTTTAAATATATATATACATATATATATATATATATATATATATATATTTGATTTCAATTCTAGCAAACAAAGAGTATGGCATGCTGTGACTTTTGTTTGGTTGATTTTATTTAACAATAAGTTGCTGAAATAGTTTGTTCACTAATCTGACAACAGCACATAGTCCAAGCTGAAAAAGGATGTGAACTGAATAAAGTAAAAAAGGTAGATAAAAGAAAATCTTATCTTAAAATTTTATGCTCTCATTTTTGTTTTTTTTCTTTATTTTTTAAATTAAAATTTTGAATTTTTTGTTTAGTTTTTTTTATCTAAACTTATCTATGTAGAAAGTTTCAAGACCCAACCGTGTCAAATGAGCCTGTCCTAAATCAAATAAAGAGTTCCCACGTGAATTGAAGACAGTTTAGTGAGAAATCAGCATATGATTAGTGAGATATTAGGGCCTGATTAGTGACTCCATAAGCTTCACTCTCTCCCTATTGTTCAAAGCCTCAGGTCTGCTCTGTTGAAATCTCATACAACAGACTCCCTCTTCCCCTGCCTGTGAACTTGGAAATGGATGAAAGTTGACGAATGATATCACTCATCCTTTAGGCTACATCCATGCCAGACCTTGTTAAATTAGAGATGGATTCGTCGCTGCTTCGGCGTGAAGAGGAGGAGGAGGCCGAGGAGCGAAATTGAAGTGTTTTTGCGAATATGGACTCCGACTGACACGATGGGAAGAACCCCTCCATGGTCGCGGCTAATCTCCCCTCCCCCTTACAGACACCCAACAAGGAAGAAAACAACAAACAACATGAGTACCAACAAATCTGCGCCGAGGCTTCCGAAGCGAAGGCCGTGGCGTCGCGTTGCTACGTAGAGGAATGGCAAAACCCTAGAAATCGATCAGTCTTCTGCAGCAAAACGGAATTTGCAGTGTTGTAGTTGCGGGATGGCAGTTGGGAAACTTATCCTTCTGCTCTGCCTTTTTCTCCTCGCAACTTCCTTGCAATGGGGAGGAAATCCATCGGAAGCTACCTTCTGCCACAGCCCCAAAAACATAATAAGGGCACTAGTGTCGGCGAGTGAAAACCTTCGGTCAGAGAGCTTCGGTGGCTCTGACACTTGAATGCGGATGAGACTCGTCTTTTACAATGACGGTCGCGATTTGTTGTTGGACAGATTGGGAGTACGAATCCTGCCAGTGTGATGAGTGGATGAAAATGTTTAAAAAAAAAAGTAAAAACATCATT